CATAACTCACCCTAAAGTTTACACATATGCTCATCGGAAATGCTCTATTTATCTCATGGTTTCAATTAAAACAAAAAGTGTAATCTACATAGAGCAATGCACGCACACAAGAATTTGTTCATAAACAGCTGAGAAGAAGATTCTAAAACATTAAGGAAACAGAAAAGTAAATTATTAGTTGCAGATCTCCGATTTACAAAATACCACTTATCATTGATTCATCAGACGAATTATAATGCGACAATTTTGTCCTATCCATGGAGTGATGGTGGATCTTTCTATATCATCTCTTTCAGAACTTCTTCCATCCGAATCATCAAACACTGTTGGGAAAAAATCTCTGCCTCTGAGTTCTCTGGCTCTTAAATCTCTAGGGAACTTGGGAGGTGAATGTATTTCCATGAACAATTGTTGTGTTGGGGTCTTTTTCTCAGGAGAGTCATTCATGTTCATACTAGGGATCCAAGAATCAGAAGAAATTGCAGAGGGATATGTCATATTTGGATAATTTTACTTCAGGTGGTGATGAACGGTCAAAGTTACACCTAAGGGGATTTTTTTTCCTCAAAAAGATGGATCCAATATGACCTTGCTGGAGAGCCAATCCAGTCCGATGCAGAGAAACAGACAAAAAGTGAGTACCTTTGTTCACTTCTTCTCCACCAAGCACGGAAGTTTAAGGACAACTGTAGCCTGCATGTCGGTAGATAGCCAAGGATACTCCAATTTGATCCGTCCTCAGCTGGAGGCATCTATCCCATCCCGATCTCAAACCGAGACGGCGGCTTCTCTATCCAGCTTCGACACGTACGGCAGCGTGAAATTCTTCTTCCCCTCCGTGAAGTTGGTCGGAAAATATACCGGCAGATTAGATAAAAAGATATGCGGAGAAATCAGAAATGTTACTCCGTAAGAATTAGGGAGTACTCCGTATTTTGCAAAAGGGGAAGTGTTGGACGCGTAAATAATTAAACTCTTTTAATTTAAATGCCACGTGGACTAGCGTGCAGTTTAAGGAGCAAGTGACGGGCTCGTTAAAATTTTCGCCAAAGTTGTACGGGTTGATCAGGTTTTGTTCGTAGCTTTCTTCGCTCAGTTGGAATTAACTGGGCTCGGCGGCGTGACGGCGTCTCATCTCAAAGGCTAGCAGGATCTTGCTTGCAGGATGGCTTCCATGTTGGAGGGCTACTCATTCCACGGGTAAAAGGAGATAGATGTCTTGCTTAATGCTTATGAGATGAGGAAGATGGAAGAGAATGAAGTGCAATTGGTTAGCCTTGAAGGACAAAGGCTTCATAGCGGTCATGATGGTCCGGCCTCCTTCTGAACCACCGTCATGGAATGTACGAGTTGGAACTTTGACTATTTGTGGAAAGCCTAAGTTAGAAGGGATCAAGATTAATGGAGCTTGGCAAGCAGTAACAGGCTCGTTTAGTTTGCATTTGAGGTGAGTGGGTATTTTATGCTAAGAAGTAAGATGGCTTCAAGAGCCGAGATAATCTTCAAATCTCTCAGATGGTTAACGACTCGATCCGCTCTAATTAGGTGATCGTTTCTATGTCTAATGAGGGTGAAGAGACCTTCAGGTTATGGTAAGTTTGGTAGCAGGAGGTTGTTCGGTATTGAAAAGTTTGTAATGTCGTTGCTTCTTGGATTCTAATATAACCAGTCAGTTTCCTTTAAAAAAACGATAAGTTGACCTCCAATAGAATAAGTTGATCTTTACATGCAAGGATCATCACTCACTGGGATAGTCATGTCTATCAGTTCAACCAAAACAACTTATTTTTACAAGCTACTTTTAAGTAATGAAAATGTATATTTAAGTTAGGCTTTATTTAAAGGGAGCTAGAAAGGCCAAAAATGACACTAACGTTTTTAATGAATCTCGGATATGACACTCGGGTTTGTAATGGACCAAATAAACTCAAATTTCAACTTTTAGTTTTACTTTTACCCACCCATTAACTTTGCCGTTAAACAATCGTTTCCCTAGCAAAAGTGAGGATTAGGAGAGTTTTCCTTCTTCAGCCATTACCATTTTTCTAAACTTAAAAACGTGGAACATCTTGTCTTCTCCATTACCATCTTCCTCATCATTTCCTTAGGCTCTCTCTCCTAGCATACCCATGCCTGGTAATGCGCTGATGTTCTTACACGATTTACAAGATCCAACCCTTGAGCCATAGTGCAAATCAAAAACAACTTTTGAGCAAAACTCATAATTCAATTCAATAGCCATCTGTACTATCAGAAGCCTTTATTATTCCCAAAATGATTTGGGCACTGTTGATTGTTGGGACATTTTTAGAAAATCATCAAACAATACCAGACTTACCTCAAGGCAGAGCAACCTGTTCTGTGATCAGTATATTAGCACCTTCATTTGCAATAACCTCGTTTCAGGAGATGGATTCAGTTGTGGCAGTGTTAGGGTCCCAATTCCAGCAACTTAGAAGTCCCCAGTGCGACTAAGAGTTTCCATTCTTTGACTTCTGGTATCGATTCTATCTGTGGAGTTTCTAAAGTGTCCAAGAAGCTTAAATGTTAGGGAGCTAATGATTCTTTTGGCACCCTTCTGGATGGAATCCTCTTTGTCTCATTGGCTGCTGACGATCGTCACTTTTGTGGAATCCGAGAAGACAATCACAAGATTGAGTGCTGGGGAAACTACAACTCGTCATCGGTAATCCCAAAAGGATCTGGTTTTCTTGTGATTGCCTCGTGTGATTTTGACACTTGTGGGATAAGGGAAAGAGAATTCAATTCTGCTTGCGGGAAAGTCACAATTGCCGCCACGGCCTTGTCTCTCCGGCCAGTCACCATTTTAGATTTCTGGTGCACATCCTTGGTCGTTTCATCATCGGTGGCTCGCACTCCCTCTTCTGCAATTGACCCACGCAGATCTGAGATTGATCCATTCTGTCCCTGTTCAGCAGAGGATCCCATTGAGATGGCGATGTCTCCGGCGATTTCATTAGCCCTAGAATAAAAAGCATGAACAGACACACCATTATGAAGACTGAAGACTTAGTGTTCTCTTGAGAATTAACTTAGGGTTGCGGGAGTTGTGTTTAATCGCAGGGAAACGTTGTGTTTAACGGCAACGTTAATGGGTGGGTAAATGTAAAGCTAAAAGTTGAAATTTGTGTTTATTTGGTCCATGACGAACCCAAGTGTCATATCCGAGATTCATTAAAAACGTTAGTGTCATTTTTGGCCCTTCTCCCTTATTTAAATGTAGAGTGTCGTCTATCTTCTCCAAAGTTTTAATGTTGTTTACTCATGTCCAGGGATGGATTTAGGGGGGCGGGGGGGGCGACCGCCCCCCTTGGACATTCAATTTTTTTTATCATATATGTAGTATTTTCATAAAACTTTCATAATTTAATTAGATTCGCCCCCCTTAGCTTTTAATTTTCAAAATTAATATATATAGTCTTACATAATGTAATACTTAATTGGAGATTTAAAAGAAGAAACGTATAAAATAATTTACATAACTTAAACAAATAAACAATAGAGTAACTCGTTATTTGAGATTTAGGATACTTGTTATATAAAAATTCCTAGTTTTGTAATGTTTAATTATCTTTATTAGATAACAAGTATTGGATTTCGTAAAACATATATCAAACAATATTAAATACCAGACACACTAATTACACAATTTTTAGATCACATGAAATGAATCTAAAATATAAATATTTATAGACATTAGATTACATAATTCATTTACTTCTTGCTTTCTAAAAATAATTTAATGCATGGATAATAAACTCTAAATTATTATAGAATTAATAAAAATATTAAAATATAATATGCACCATATATATATGTGTGTGTGTGTGTGTGTGTGTGTGTGGTGCATATTATTCTAAAAATAACAATCTCATACATATTAGTATACTACTATTGTAATATTAAGAAAACTTCTCATTAGTCATGACTCACGAACACCCTCCTTGGTGGACAAAAATTACAATTCAATAACCGATTCATGAGGTTAAACAATGTAGAAGTTATTAAAAATGTATTGGTTGATGTCTTTGTCATCGTCTAAACTTAGAATGTAATAGATTTAAACGTCGTTCAGGATGTGCATGTATAGATATCATTTTTTGAATAAAAATAGCCGCATAGCCTACAGTAGCGAAAAAATTTCGCCCCGCTATACTAGGGAAAAAAATTTCATCCCGCTACATTAACAAAAAAAAAATTCACCCCCTACACTAACGAAAAATTTCGCCCCCCTTGACTCAGAATCCTGGATCCGTCCCTGCTCATGTCGTGTGTAGTTTTGTTTATTATGTCTTGTGAATTTTAAATTCAATACGTAAGTATGGTATACACCTTCTGATATCAAACATTGCTAAACTCCTTTCTTCCGGGGCAAATGAAAATAAAAAAGGAGAGGTATTATACCAGGTGTTATTCAATAGCAATCTGTTCAGTAAAATATTATTTACTAAAAAAAATCTAGTTTGATTAAATTGGGCTTGAAATTCCGTACAAACTTACATTAAAAGTAACTGTAATTGTATATTAATCTTTTATAATTTTCATAATATTATTATCATCCATTTGTTCGTATATAGTAAATATATATTTCTTTTAATCTCTGATTTTAGACATTAATGGGGTGATTGGATCTACTTCTGAACTTCTGAAAACTCCTTCTGCTTCTTCAAAGAGCAGAAGCATATATTGGAGTATTTGGGTGAAAGAACAGAGATACTTGTGGGTTCTCCAAACTACTCCTAAAAGCAATTTTTTAGGAGCTGGGGAAGACCAACTTCTAAAAAATTGATTCTAATTATACTTAAGTTTTTAGAAAAGAAACAGAAACAAAATCAATTCCAAACACCTCTAAATGATGATCACATTCAAATTCAATTCTTAGTATTCAATTCTTTTAGCACCTACCACACATGTTTTTAACTTTGACATCCCTATGTATGGCCCGTCTCCATTGTCATCCTTATTCGTCGTTGTTAAAATACACATAATGTAGACATCTAACTGACCAAATCAATTCATGTAAGGATTTAACATACCAGAAAATTACTCTCATTAAACACATCTAATTAAATATAGTAGTCCGTGCACCTATAAATTTAACTGGTAAATTTAACTGGTGGGTGTTTTGCTTCCGCTCATGTTATTACTCATTTCTGAGCAGCTGCGCAAAGCAACATAAATGAAGAGAGTTTCAATGAAGATGCTGGCGTTCTTCTTAGGCCTTTTCGTTCTTGCATCTTGTAAGTTCTCTTTCTCGAACTCTTCCTTCACGTACTCTTACTCTTTTCTTCAGTGCATAAATTCGATCACACAGATCCATCAACCAGATGTCAATTGATGGGTGTTTGAATCTACTTAAAATTGTTTGTATTTTTTTATGAGCAAAATCAGGTGTTTGAGTGAAAGTGAATAAATACTTCAAAAAAAACTACATTTAGAAGCACAAGCAAATAGATGATGTTTCATTGAAAGTGTAAAAGTACTTTTGACTTCTCCAAATTACTCCTAAAAACAATCTTTTAGAAGATGAGGGTCAGACTCTGAAAAGCAATTCTGATTTTGCCTATGTTTATTAAAATCAGTTCTAAATATCCCTGATTGAATTTTGCTTAACTGGATGGTCGAGTCAAATGCGTAAATGGTACTTTAACTATTGGTAATGTTGCAATTTGGTACCTTAACTCTTAAATGAATCAAAAGGGTATCTTAACTATACATAAATGTTTCGAATTGATATTTTATTCAAATTTTCGACCAAAATATCCTTCATGACGATCAAAATTCCATGTGTAGAGTCACTCTATAGTGATCATATGGACAAAAAAAAGGTGAAGTAGATTTTATGCATAGAATGATAGCCGCCACGTGTGATTTTTTGGTCGAAAATTTGAATAAAATCTTAATTCGAAACATTTATTTAAAGTTAAGGTGCCATTTTGATTCATTTAAGAGTTAAGGTACCAATGTGCAACATTACCAATAGCTAAGGTATCATTTATGCATTTGACCCCTGGATGGTCTATGCATCATGTCTTAGAGTCCATTTGGGGTCCTTGATTTTCGGGTTGCATTGACTGAAGTTATTATAGAAGACCATGTTATTTATCTTTCCATATATTTTTGTTTTTACTTTGTTAATAAAATATATTTAAATATAATAAGGTTTTTTTACAAGAATATTAATTTTTTCATAAATCAGCATAATCAACCACTTCAGAGTTCAGACAATCCAACTATAATTTTATAAATTTAGATGAATCACTCACTATATTAGTCAATTTGAGTGTCACAAACAGGATCGTAATTTTTGAAGCTAAGCTGGAGGACGGATATGATTATGAATTAATATCAGTAAGCTAATTATATAAGCTTTGTTTGTTTGAATGATTGAATGTATGTTGGCAGTGTTGGGAAAGGGTTTGATAGAGGCGCAAATAAGCGCAGGACCAAACAAGGAGCAATTGATTGTGAGTGGGCAGGTCTGCAAGTCTCACGATGACTGCAAATCCAACGCTGCTAATAATGGCCGCCATTTCTGTATCAAAGACGTTGCTGGATCTGAAACGGGTCATTGTGTCGGATTTGATCCCGCCATTGGTACCTACCTAATTACTCCCTCTTTAGCTGTCCCAATTTTCTGTGAATAATACTCCGTATAATTATTACTCCCTCTTTTATACTCTGTATACTCTTTTTAAATACGAGAAGTTTATTTTTCTAAAAAGTTTAAAAGAATCCGAATGGATCGAAGAATCTGCTGAAATTAGACAAGATATGACCCGAATTGTAAAGAATAAAAAAGTAAAGAATAATTATATTACTCCCTATGTCCCGAATGGTAGGATACTTTACGGTTTACAATGATTGACCGATGTTAAAACAAACGGAACCCTGTCCGCACTCAAATTATTTTTAGAAAAAAAATTACATATTCAGAAACTACATTAAATGTTTTACGATGTCACAAAAACCATAATCAAATTTGATGAAAAATTGATAAATAAAATAAGAGATTAAGAGTGATTTGTGTTGATCAAGTGAATATGAAAGATATCTTACAAAATGGAACTGAGGGAGTAAAATATATAATTAAAATGATCATTTCCTATGACTTCAAATCATCATTTAATTCAGTTTGAAAAGTAACTATAACCTAATTTATGGGTAAAAAAGTTATTAAAATTTACAAAATATGACTATATATACATTTGTTTTTACCCATCCATATGACTAAAAAGTAAAAAAAATAAAAAAACTGCCCCAAAACAAATAACATGGTCGGACATGACACCCCTATAATAAAAAAGGGAAAAGTACAGAAAATGTACTTGTGGTTTGAACCATTTTCAGATAGGGGCATATGTTTCATTTTTTAACAAAGTGGGATATGTGTTTCAATTCCGTTATCACAGAGGGGGTATGACATCTAATGCCGTTAGAAAACCCAACCCCGATTTTCAAAAGTCTCTGAAACATTAAAAGAAAAATACTGGAAGGTGCGCCTCGTCAAGGAGACCAATAAACTATCTTTTTTTTTGTTTCCTGCCACCATGTCGCCATCAAATCCGCCGGAAAAGTGATATTAACAAATTCATTTTTAAAACTTAATCCAAATAGAGCCAAAAAATTCAAAGAGAACAATAGTTTATTGGTCTCCTTGACGAGGCGCACCTCCCAGTATTATTCTTTTAATGTTTCGGAGACTTTTGAAAATCGGGGTTAAATTTTCTAACGACGTTAGACGCTATGCCCCTGCTGTAATAACGGAATTGAAGCACATGTCTCACTTTGTTAAAAAAATGAAACGCGTGCCCCTATATGAAAACGGCCCAAACCACAAGTACCTTTTATGTACTTTTCCCAATAAATAACATTCATGGCTATACATGTGTGTAAGTTATAGTTTAGGAAAATAAAAATCTAAGGACACCTTTACTTCACGGGTTACTAAACAGTGATTATTAAAGACTGGCGTTAATAAGCAACGCATAAAATAACCAGTGTTGTAAGCTCATGTTTACTTCAAAGGATTTCAAACACCGCTTAACATTAAAATGTCCAAATTAACTCTATGCATATATAGACAAAAGACATTCATGTACACAAGTACATACTCGTATAATATAACACGCAGGGGCCACTCCGTACGCCCCTAAACCCGGGGGGTGGGGTCGGGGTGGGTCAGGTTAGGGTAAGGTAGGGTGTCGGTGGGTGTTTGGGGTAGGGGTGGGTCAGGTTAGGGTAGGGTTGCGGAGCTCGGGCCGGGGTTTGGGTTGGGTCGGGTGGGATTGGGGTTGGGTCGGGTGTGATTGGGGTTGGGAGTAGGGTCGGGGTGGTGGTTGGGTCTGGGTAGGGCATGTGGCTGGGCAGCAATGGGGTGGGTGGGGGTGGTATCGGTACGTGGGTGGGTAAGGGGTATGATCCACTGGTAGGGTGGTAAGGGGCTAGGGGTAAGGGGCCGGGTAGGGGGTAGGTATAGGGTGGGGGTAGGGGTTATGGGCACTGTTAGGGGATGGGGTCAAGGTCGGGGTTTGGTGAGGGTAGGATATGGGGGTTAGAGGTAGGGTTAGGGTTAGGGGTAGTAGTGGGGTTAACAATAAGGGGTTAAGAGTAGGGGTATATTCGGAAAGTGGAAAAATTTAAAGTGTCACTTAATTAATAAATGAGAGTGGTATGCTTAGTAAGCGACAGTTTAAGCACCCGGCCCCTTGCGGTTAGTAAGCAGCTTTTTAAACAGTTTGCGTGTTTACTTCGCATGTTTTGCAAATCTAACTGTGACTTTAGCAGTGCAGTAAACACGTCCTAAGTCATATTGTGAAGCAGGTAATCATTTTTAGTCATATAATGAGGTAATTTCTCATTTTAAATGGTACACAACCAGTAGCGGATTTAGGATTTTGGTTTTGAGTGTACAAGCTCCTTCTAGAATTAAAACTTTGAACAAAGCCGTTTTAGGGGGTTCAATAGGTTATCTAGAACAGGACCTCCAAATTTATGGGGCCCAAAATTTTGGAAATTTATTAATATTATATAGTAATAATATATATTAGTACTAATCTGTAAAATATAGTTATCAAGTAAGGAAGAAAAATATAGATCCACCATTTTTTCATGGGAAAATGGAAACTAATAATCCAACCTTTTAGCAGTCTTCTTACAATAGTCCCACATTTTCGTTATTCAAGAATAATCCAACCTTTGCACCCCATCTTCATTCGCTAGTCCCTGACCGGTTAATGATCTGCTATTCCAAATTATTTTCTTATCTTTGCAAAATATTATCTTTGTGAAAGATTTATGGTATAATGGTTTGCAAAGATAAGAAAATAACTTAGAATAGCAAGTCATGAACCGATCAGGGACCAGCGAATGAAGATGGGGTGCAAAGGTTGGATTATTCTTGAATAACGAAAAGGTGAGACTATTGTAAGAAGACTGCTAAAAGGTTGGATTATTAGTTTCCATTTTCCCTTTTCTCATTGATCCTTTTACTCTTTTATTTCTCTTTTAATCAATATTCAATTGATTTGAGTATAAGTATTTAGATTCAATTTTTTAAAAAATTTGTTATATTAATGTGGTGCCCTGTTTTTACATGTTGAACCGGCCAACTGGGGGCCTCCAAATTTATTAGATTGCAATGACTTTGAACCTCAATGAATAATTAGTGTGAATTTACGCATATATTCTTATATACTTTTTAAAAATTTGAGTGTCCAAGAGAACACTTTGGATATAAGGTGGTTCCGCCACTATACACAACTCAACATGTAAAATAAAAAATGATGTGTTTGATGGACGAATATTTGAGTTATCAAAGGGCTCCTTAGAGTTTATTTCTTTGAGTTATGCATTAATCTCTAAAACTTTTATTTTTTAAATATGCACGTTTTGCGAGTTTGCTGAAATTAGATTAAGTACTACGTATGTTAAATTGTTAATACTTGACAATTAGTCTTTGTTTTCTCTCCAAAATAATGCTTATGCCGACCCTTACTTCTCAAGGTGTTCGTTGTTTTATTAATATTTTTGTTATTGTTGTTTATTCAAGTCTGATTTGGTTGGGTGAGATTGAAATTGAAATAAATGTGACAAACAAAACATGCAAATTCTGAATGATCTTATGTTATTATTATCTGTGGGGTAATCAGAGACTGAGCTGAAGAAAAAGAAGCCAAAGAAGGGTGGCTGCGGGTATTGTGAAACTGACGATGATTGCACGGGCTGTCCAGCAGCAGCTTCTTGCGAATTCATGGATTTGCTCTTCATCTCGATATCTACTTTTCTTTTTTATCCATCTAAAATATTTTATTCTCAATTCAAACAATTAATAATCAGGTTTACCTTTATACTATTGATTGATTTTGAGATGAAAGGAGTGATTATTGAATCTTTTAGATTTACATCAATAATCAATATTTATGTAAGCATATAAGGGAGCATTTGTGATTTCTTCTACTTCAAAAAACACTATTTTAAAGTAATTTTAAAGAAAGTACTTAATAAGAAAAATTGATAGAATGTGAGGGAAAAAAGATTTTAAAAATTTAAAATTAAAGTTAATAGTACAACGAATTTGTAAAAAAATTATTTAATAAAAAAAAAGCAATTTAAAGCATTACTTTACCAGCTGTCAACTTTAAGAGCTTGTTTGGTAAAACTAAAATTGATCAAGTTCTAGACTAAGCAGATGAGGTGGCTAAATCTACTTAATTAGGAAAAATTTAAAATATATTCTATTACTAATATATATATATATATATATATATATATATATATATATATATATATATATATATAATCGTTATCTACAACTTCAGCCACTTCAGTTAGAAAAGTAAATCAAATCTTACTTTTTTAAAATTATAACATTCAGAACGTGAAATCAAAATTAAATGTTTGGTAAAAAAGTTGAAATATAAAAAAAAACATGAATCACCAAACGGGATCTTGAGTCTTGATTTACTTGATTTAAGTAGAAGCACAACAATTTCGAACTTCTAATAAAAAAATGAAAACTCATTTTTAATATTTCCCAAATCACTTTTGAGAAGGAAACCATTAAAAAAGGAAATGATGCATTTTTTGAATAACTACTTTGAGTAGTAGTTCCCAAGAGAAAACTTCTTAATTTAACATCAACTAGTGCTTAAAGATTGTTATTCAAAATATAACTATGTCAAAAATACAGAATCTCAAGGATAGATGAATAATCAATCCAAAAAATATAAAATGTATGAATATAGGGATGGAATGATTGAAAGCCATCAATCTTGCTAGGACCTAAAATTCCACCGAATTTGATTTATTTAATTCTTTGTTAATTTTATTGCTAATCTTTGATGTTTTTTTCTTCACAAAAAATATTAGTTAAATAAAATTGAACAACATTTTATTTTTTAAAAATAATAATCGATTCCATGACCATTTATGTCCTAAATTAATTCTTTTCAATCATTTGAGCCCTATATCACCACATTTTATTTTTCAGGTCTCATATTGATAACTCATTTATCTTTCAAAGTTCTGAATTGATAAAAAAAATTATTTGAAGTGAAAACTATTACATACTCGCATCTAAAAATCAGTCTTAATTTGCGATTCATACTCTTTACTACTCCGTATAATAAAAATAATTTTGCCACTTTTAATACTAAGAGCATCCACAATGCTGCTCTTTCTAGTCCAAATAAATTATGCCAAATGTCAAGTTATGAATAGGCTTTCTAATTAAAGTGGAATGACTAGACAAAAAAATCTAAAAGAACCTCCAACGCAGGCAGTCTTATGCCCAATTAATTGCCGATGCGGAATATTATTAATTAATTATAATAAACTACATAGTCGACAACCTACCACTACCAAGTATTTCATCTTCATATTTCCGCTGCGCATCAGACATATAATTTACATATGTACCATACGTGAATATGTATACATACACTATACCTATATATACACATATATATGACCAAAATCCTTCTCCTTCAATGAGAGTTACGTACAAGGCTACAAGCACGAGTATGTATATGTGTATGTATATTATATAAAATATACAAACCAAATAACGAATTAGATGAACAAATACACACAGATCGATACATGACTGGCACGCACTCACGTATGTTAGGTTTGATTACTGCTTCACTCATTTATTTAAGTTACTAGTACTTCGTATTATTTAAGTTGCATGTAGCTAATTATTAAAAACTCTATGAAACCAGATCTGATATTTGGTAAAGAGACGGAAGCTATATGCGTTTTTATTTCCTTCCCAATAAATAAAACGGATGAGTCAGCATGTTTCTTTGCCTTTCTACACTCGGAAACTCACGTTCACGGTGTGCACTTTTTTTTTGACAACTCAGCAACGGACTACCAGCATTGAAAACCAAAAGAAATACATAGTGTCTAATTTAATGACGTGGCGGACTAAACCTAGACTAAACAGAACCGCATTGCGGTTGCTCTAAGAGCAACCGCAATGCGGTGCTTTCTAGTGCAAATAAAAGGTGTCATGTCATCAATTGGGACATTGTAGATTAAAATTGGGTTCCAATGCATAAAGTCTTGTGATGAGTTGGCAAAAAAAATTAAACACCGTCTAGAGCAATGTGTGAGTGTAGAAAGGCTTGCTGACATGCTGACATGGACGAATTGCACTAAAAAACCTCTCCCTCTACCTCACGATGGGGATTTCAAAGCCGGATTTGCCGCAACACTGCTCCCACATCAGTAGAGGATCTATGCATGGGCTATGTGATGTGAGTTTTCTCGCACTTAAAAATGATGTAGTAAAGTGGTGGAAGTACGAGTATCGTCTCCACAGGGACGGACAAAAGGGAATTAAAGATTAACTAATTTCAGCGATTAAAGAGAAAATAAAATAAAATAAAATAAAATAAAATAAAATGCAATTGTGCGAGATTGGTTGGTTGGGAAAATTAAACTAATGCGAATGAACGAATAAAAATAAAGCTTGATTTCTCTCTAATTAACGATGAAGGGAACATGGATTGATTCCGGGGTAACCAGATTTCTGGCAGAACAGGCCTAATTACATGAAATTATTTTAATTGAGCCTAGCTAATCATTACTAAGTTCTTACCGCTCTCGCGGCGTAGAGTACAATAATTTAGGGGACCAGACTGATCTCTCATGCGACAGGATCCTAAATCATTGCCAATACGAGCGAGCTTACGGCCCCTTAATCGCTACTAATCTCTTAGCGAACGATTAAGTGTGTGTGAATGTGTCCTAGAATAAATTAGATCTCTCTTAATTCCATCCTAAAAGGTCAACCTGATAGGAGGAGTAATCCAAAGTCTTATATAGTGTTTTATTGTTCTAAAGCTTTCCGGTGTGGGATAAATACTTCAACACGCCCCCTCAGCCCGAACCGGGCTGAACAATATCGGGGTGTATAAATTAGATCTCTCTTAATTTATTCTACATTCAATTGTAATTCTAGCGGTTGTTCTAGGTTACAAGAGATATCAATTAAATTATTCAAACACAAATTAAATGGCTTTCATGCAATTAAACCATCAAGAATCTAGCCATCAATCATGATTAACCCCTTCACTTCAACCCCAAATCCCTAATTAAACTACACACAATTCATAATTGAAGAATCAACAGAATTGGGAAGAATAGAATTAATTGTCATTAATTAAAAAGATAAACTTACAAATAATCTCAGGGTCTTGGAGTAAACAATCGTAAAAACGCAAGTAAATTCGTCCTTAGGCCTCTCCGTAATGTTCGTAACCATCAAAAAGGGGTATGAAGGCCTTATTTATAGAAAACAGATGAGTTTGGGCTGAATTGGGACTAAAAAGAGGCTGAAATCCGTGTTCCGTATGTACGCACGTTCGTGCGTAACTTGCCACGCACGATCGTGCGTACGTGGCTCTCTTGCTTTCTCGCCTCAGACGCACGATCGTGCGTTCCCCTACACACGGCGTGTGTCAAACTTCCAAATTTGACAGAACGTTCTTCATGAAAGTTGTAGATAATGAAGTCCTCTATTTACCCCAATTTGCCGAATTGGATTTGAATCATCCAATCAAGAGATATGAATAAAATGGTGAAAGGTGTCTTTCTGAAATCCCAACAGAGATCATCTGACTTCATCGTATGTCTTCACCTTGATCCTCTCAGATTCTCGGAATGATGTCTTTATATGATTTGTAACACTTGAAGTTGGCTTTCATATGGAACTTGAATAGTGTTCATGGGATGTTTCGACAGAGAGATATGCTTGAACGACTGACAGAAGGTCATCCTGATTGCCGATTTCAAGCTCCATTCGTCTTCTTTTGATCTCGTAGCCAATCCTAGAGCTCTTTTGTCATCAAATCTTCATTGTAAACCTCCCGGTGACCTCCATAGCTCTCAAATCAATCTCAAATGCTTCTCAACTCATCCAGATTTCTCCTCAAGCGCCGGTACCGAACTCTAAAATCATGATTTTGACTCCAAATGACACAAAACTCGAACCAACGCCTGATAAATATAACTTGAGCTAAAATTGAGTCTTGTAACACCTTAAAGCTATGAAAACTATCAAAAGCCGATCTCAACACGCATCAAATTTGTGTCTAAATACGGGCTTATCACTATGGTAGGCTGGAGCCCAGGGCAACTTAGAAAATTTTTCAATTTTTAATGTATTTTTTTTCATTTTCCACGTTTAGCACACCCCTCTAACATTTAAACCTAGTATAATATCTATTCAGCCCAGGGCATTTCAAATTCCTGGATCCGCCCCTATCCCACATCGTCTATCGTGGCACAGTGCGGTGCAGATCTTTCTCTCCGGCAACCAGGTGCGACGGCCCCTCCTTCAGAGCAGAGAACGAAGCAAAATCAGATCTGGAATGGTGGTTATTATTCGTTCCTGAAATGGAGACTGGCACACTGGGGAAGATGATGCTCGCCGGTGAAAACCTTGAATGGCTGTTCATCGCTTCACGGCCACATGTTGGAGAGGCGCGACCGGAAATTTGATCTTCATCATTTTGGACCAGTTGGGAGATGTTTGTGCTTCAATTGTTCGCCGTCAGAACATTGGAGGCCGCTATTGTGCGGTGTATACAAAATATACATAATATATTGGTTTAAATATGTTTTTAGTCCCTGCAAATATAGTATACTTTGTTTTAGGTCCCTGCAAAATATTTCTTTTGTTTTTCATCCCTGAAATTTATATTGATATTCATTTTAGTCCATGACTACTGACAACAACCTCCGTTTGACAACGAAATAATCCCGATTATCAGGTATTCTTTAATTCTTTGTCATGCCAATCAAAAAATATTTAATTTCATTATTTAAAAGGTTTTTAATACATACTTTAAAAATGCAAATAAGTAATTTTAATATTGTTTTAACTCTCTTATTAGCCTCAAAAAAATTATAAACTGATAAATTTAAATGTTTCCTATAGATGTATGCAACTGATAATAAAAAAGTTCTA